CCCCAAAACCCCAAAACCCCAAAACCCCAAAACCCCAAAACCCCAAAACCCCTTAATTCAAAATAATAATTGAATTCAAAATAATAATTGAATTTAAAATAAATTGAATGAAAGAAGACACTGAGCCTATCAATCTCAGCAATGAGGCAACCCTCAAGGCATTTAAGAGCGAGGCAAAGCAGCCCAGGAAGTTTCCCAGAAATACAGACCGAATTAAGGGTAAGATTGCCGGTGCATACTTTAGTCTGCCTTAGAATCAGACCAAGGCTCCAAGATGAGCTGTGTCTTGAACAAGCAGATTATGAAATTCAGGAGAAGACAAGACAGCATGAAAAGGGAGATGATTCAACTGTAAATGTACTTAGGCTTATTGGAGGAGCGAAAGGTAAGTCTTTTGCTACAAATCTCTCTTCAAATCATTTCTTAGCTCTATATAGGAATTGCCAAAGGAACTTATGACAAAATTTTTGATAATATGAATACTCAAGAAGAAGTTTATGAAGTTGTCCAGCCAGCCATTCAAAAAATTGTTCAAGGGTATAATTGATCAATTTTCGCTTATGGACAGACTGGTTCTGGGAAGACCTACACAATGTTTGGGCCTAACTTCTCAGGTAACTTTGATGCCAGACCTGAAGAAGGGATTATCCCAAGAGCTATATCACAAGTGTTTCAACAAGTTGATGAAATTTTTAAGACAACTGCTAAAGAATTTACTGTTTACTGTAGTTTTTTACAAATTTACAACGAGAAATTGTACGATTTGCTTCAGGACGAAAAGTTTGAAAATCCTTTGAATATTAGAGAGGATACATATCAAGGAGTCTTTGTAGAGGGCTGAAGTGAGTATGTCATCACTAACCCAAATGACTGCTTATATTTACTCGAAAGAGGAGAGTTCAATAGAATTACGAGACAAACAAAGTCTAATTTAGCCTCTTCAAGGTCCCATTCTTTATTCCAGTTATGAGTGGAGAGCATGAGTCCTTCTTCTAATGGCAAAATGATCAGAGCAAAGCTCAATCTTTGAGATCTTGCAGGTAGTGAGAAAATATACGCAGAGGAAAGATTAGGGGAGAATCATATGAAAGAACATAAAAACATTAACTTATCTCTTTCAACTCTTGGAAAGGTTGTTGGTGCTTTGGCCAAAAACAAAACTCTGAAACATATCCCATTCCGAGAGAGTAAGCTAACTCGACTTCTGAAGGATAGCTTAGGAGGAAAGACAAGCACAATCCTTATTGGAACAGTCTCTCCATTAGCAATTCATACTGATGAATCAATCTCCACAATGAAGTTTGCTGATCGAGCAATGAAGATCCAAGTCAAAGCTACAGCGAATGAGATAAATCCTGAGGATGATAAATTAGTCAAGAAATTGAGGAGAGAAGTCATCCATCTCAAGGAGATATTACAAATGAGAAACAACAAAACTCAAAAAGACATCAATATGGAACTTCTTAGTTTGAAGGAAGAGAATTGTAAGCTCAGAGAGATGAACACAGCCACCGATGAAATGGAAAAACTTAGGAAAGAAAATAAACAACTCAGATTGGCTATCCAAGAAAATCAGCATTTAATGCTTGAGGCACAGAAGCCTCTTGAACGTACGTTTGACCAGGTTGTTGTTGAAGAAGAAGTTGAGGAGGATTGAGAAGGGAAAGAAATTTCAGATAAAGAAAATACCGGCTTGGCCACAAATAAAAGCACTAGCTTTTTCTTAACAGAAGCAAATGAAAGGAAGCAAGAAAAGATTTTACAAGAAGTAAAGCAACCTCTTCCTAACATTATGAATATTCTAAATGATAGCAAGGCTAGAGAGAAGATATTATCAACAGATAAAAAAAGCTCTGTTGAGAATCCATCAAAGACCATGTCTAAAATTCCTACAAATAGAGTATGGGAAGGTCAGAAAATATCTCAAAAATTATCAGGTATTGCTCAGACTTCTTTGCAAAGGAACTTGAATAATATCTCAAATGCTACTTTGACAGGAATGCCAAAATATTCATTTGGTCCCAATGAGATATATAATGCTACTGAAGAGCTTAAGCAGGACTTGGTAGTTCAGAACAGATGAAATATCTGCACTTTAAAGCCACCTTGTAAACATTATTTAACCTGCGATGAGATTCCAAAGATAAGCAAAGGTCATAGGAAGGAGAATTCAATTTCAAATACTTTGAACAAAATGTTACCTCCATTACCAAGGATTCAAAGCACATGGATTCCAAAACGAGCAAGTTTGCCTGATTCAAACATTGAGATACTTCCAAACTACACTGAAAAAGACTGCTCTTTCTCAAGTAACTTGTTTGGGACAAATCAGGTGTCTATTTTCAAAGATAACACAACCGAGAATCGTCTTGCAAGAGATGCAAGGACTACTGGAGGGAAGCGCGCCCCTCCTAGTGATAACACCTCCTGCACCATCAGGATACGATCAAAGAACGCCATAGAGACTTATCAAGGCAATGTTGCTCGCACTATCTCAGAACATAGGGCTACCAGAACCAAAAAGTCAAAACTAAAAGAGGCTAAAAAGAGATTAATCACACTTGAAAAGATCGAAAAATACAGAAAAGAAAAGATGCAAGAAGAAATCAAGAAGCTTGAGATCCAACAAAGAATCAATGAGAAGTATAAATAGAGCTGAACGAAGGAAACAACTTGAAGCTCAACGTCGTAGGAATCAAATCCGTAGGCAACTGGCTATGCACCACCAGATGAAAATGGAAGACTCCCAAAAGATTGAAAAGAAGAAACAACAGGAAGAAAAGAAACAGCAGAAGAAGGAAAGAATGAAAAGGCAGTATTATAACGACCAAAAGGCTAAATTAATGACATATAAGAAGCAAATGGAGGAACATATCACTAAAATGTCCCTTGGGGATGAGTATGGGCAACCAATGTGCCAGAATACAGATCTTATCATTGCTCGGGACGATCTTACATCTCTTCATGATAGTATGAAATTCACAGAAACTCCTGATACGAACCAATACAGCGTCTCAGTTCTAGACCAGACAAGCAGTGGGAATCAAAGGATGAACAGGAAACCAGCAGTTTCATAATCAAATGCTCAATATCTAAGCTTAAGAAAGGGGTTTTGGGGTTTTGGGGTTTTGGGGTTTTGGGG